CCTTCTCTCTCTCTCTCTCTCTCACTGTCTCTCTACCCCCCCTCTCTCTCTCACTCTCACTCTCACTCTCTCTCTCAGCTTTTACCAGTATATATTTTCAATGATATAAAAATATGCAGACAGATCATGCCCAGTGCTTTCGAGAACCTTCTCAGCCTTGCTGTTTTCTTTCATCAGGTCTTTTCAGTTGTAAAAAGTACAAAGGTAGACGGTATCTATCAGTGTTGTCTCCTATATTCACCATTGCTGGAGTCCTTTTGTTTATTTGTTTGGATTGGGGAGCCGGGGAGGGGGGGGGGATTTTCACGCGCTTTAACGTTTTGTTTGCGTTGACATGTGTTATTTGTATGTGTATTATTTTTCCTTTGCTGCCCGTTTCAGTCACCGCAGTTTGTGTGCGCTTTTTACGACGTATATACTCTCGCAACCATGTATGTAGTGTTTTTATGTGCGTGTCTTTCACCTTTTTGAAAGGGGTTTTGATTTTGTGGGTGGTTGACGGGTGCTCTGGTGTGGATATTGGCGGGTGCTCTGGTGTGGTCTGCTCCTTCTTTCCTTTCAAGCATCTGTCATCCTTATCTCTCCTCTCTCTTTTTTTTGGGTTTTTGTATGATATTTTTGAATAGCAGCTCTAATCTTCAGCTCTCGTATGACCAATTTGTGTTGCAATAGCCGTAAAAGTCTTTGTAGAACCAAAAGTAAGGTGTTTGATTTCAGTTCTTATATAAGGCTGAAGGCCAGGCTTTTTTCACCAATCTGATTGGGCTAGGTTGATAGGTGCTCTGGTGTGGTTTGCTCCTTTAATTTCTTTCAAACATCTGTCGTGGGTGGTTGCCGGGTGCTCTGGTGTGGTTTGCTTCTTCTTTCCTATCAAACTTCTTTCGTCTTTATCTCCCCCCCTTCTTCTTTATGTTTGTTACTCTCTTGTAACACCTTTCATTCTTCAGCACTTGTATGACCTTATTGTGTTGCAAGTGCCGTAATACTTTAATCAAAACTAAACAAAACCAATTTGCTTTTCTCCTGCAAATTTTGTTGGAAGGGGCTGTTCGTAGGTTCTATGTCATCATGTGGATTTGATGATCTCTTGCCTTCCTCCTCTCTAAAGCACACAGAGTCATGTACATTGACAAACATACACTCACATACTCACCTACACACTAAAAAAGACACACACTCACTTGACTCACATGGACCTGTATGCACATACACACACACATGTAAATACATACATACACACACACACACACACATACACACGCTCATGTTAATACATACACACACACACACACACACGCTCATGTAAATACATACACACATGTAAACACATACACACACACATGTAAATACATACACACACACACACGCTCATGTAAATACATACACACACACACACATACACACACACATACACACGCTCATGTAAATACATACACACACACACACATACACACACTCATGTAAATACATGGCTCTACTCATGTTATGTGCGTTTCTGTGGGGATTTTACACAAAAAATGTGAATTGTCAGTTTCCAAGGACTCTCCAGTGATGGAAGTCACGAAACTTTGATGCAGTTTTTGTGCTGATTTTACCTCTGTAATATTTCAACCCCCATCTCCTTTAGTCGTATATGTCGCGTCTTCTATTTCAGTCAGATGAGTATCGATTTAACCTTAAGCTAGACAAACAAACGACATTTAAGATGGTAGCTATCACTCGGTATGCCCATAAACTGACGATCGCCTGATTCCACCCCATCTCAACACATTTGTATCAAGCAATGGTGGATCAGGCGCTCGTCAATTTTTAGGCATATATATGGCATATGGGGTTATTGGTATCATCTTAAAGCCTGTTCATTTGCCTTCTTTTAGGGGGAAAAAATATCCATCTTTCTTGAAAAGAAGTGGAAATATTGCGATTGAAAGAGGTCAGGGTCTCTTGGTGTCAGAGGTAAAATTAACGAGAAAATGGCCACCAAAGTCGGGTGACTGCCATAGCTTGAGAGTCCCTGGAAACTGAAAATTTACTTTTTTGTGCCTTTAACCAGTGTTTTCCTGTAAAAATCCACTCGTAAATGTGTTTTTAAATGATCATAAAACGTGTTGAGCCAAAAAAATAAAAAAAATAAAAAAATAATCCATTGGCTGATTTGTTTGATTTCGTTATTTCAACGAGTGCCTGGTTCCACCACATCTCAACACATGTACCTTTTTTTTCCTAAACATTTTCCTCAGTCTTCGCTAACAGTTCCATTTTTGTTTTGTTTTTCGAATGATCATTTTTTTGTTCAGTTACTGTAAGGCTTACAGGTTTTGGGCCGTGGTTTTGGAGTCTGCGAGCCTGAGTTGTTGACCTTTGAACCCTTGTTGCCTATTTATTTTTGTTTGGTTTTTCATTTCTGAGTCAGTCACGGATGTTTATGATTTGTGCTTGTATTATACAGTGTGTTACTGATATTTGATCGCTTTTAAGGACAAGCGGGCTAATCCAGATTTCGGGGGTTTCCAGAAATGTTGACCTACACCAAAAGTGGACATTGCCCTACCTGTGGGAGAAGTTTGATTTCATTGGTGTAAATATCTGTTTGGTTATAGAGAAAACTCTCCCTAGTATTTTAAAGAAACTGAATGAGAGGCAAAAACTTTATCTTCGGTTTTCTCAAAACACCGCTCATCGGGATAGCCCCCTTGTGCTTTATTGCTTGATTTTTGTTTTGTTTTGTGTCTACATATTTTACAGAAAGACAGCTACTGTAAATGTGGGGATTAGGGAGGGGGGATGGGGGTGGAGGAGTAGGGAAGGTGGGGTTTCGGACTGTGGGTGGGGGGAGGGGGGATGCTTTTTTACCAGTAACTTCCCTTCCACTGACATTCTTTTGGTTCTGCTTTTGTGTTTTGTAATGTGTGTCTTATAGTCTATTTTTAACCCATGTAGAATGATAGAAAGAACAGAAGAATACGAAAGACTAAACTTGTTTCTTCTATTCGTAGAAAATTGAGAGCATGATTCCTAGTTGTCTGTGAAGGTTAGTGAGTGGTTGGCAGGTGCTCTGGTGTGGTTTGCTTCTTCTTTCCTATTAAAACATCTATCGTCCTTATCTCCCCTTCTTCTTTTTTATGTTTGTTACTCTCTTGTAACACCTCTAATCTTCTGGCGCTTTTATGACCTTATGCTGTTGCGAGCGCCGTAAAACCTCTTCTAAAAATATGAAGGTTATACATACATGTACTGCAGGTTAGTAGGGGTCAGTTGTAAAGGTCATGTGTGTGTGTGTGTGTTTGTGTGTGTGTGT